CTTTTTTTATATTAATATTTTGTTTTCTATTTTTTTGATTTTGGAATGGGTTGTTGGGGGGTATATGCGTGTGGAACAGATCTCAGACTATGATATAGTTTAAGAGTTTGCGAGAACTTTACAACGTTATAGTTGTGAGTGTAGTATATGAACATCGTCTTTTAATTTACATACATTAATAGCGACATTTACACTCTAACTTGAAATTATTTTCTCACTAGTGAGAACTCGTGCGATGTTTAACTTTTCATTCGATAACAGACATACAGATACACGATATTATGTATATAGATCGAAGCCTTATGTCCCTAGTACCACTTGTAGCCTTATCCCTTTATTGTCTTACATCCTTCAAGGCGTATGGGTACCCTATAGGACGATCCTTGAGGATCCATGAGTGCTCTCATATAATAGCCCATGAAGATCTATGGATATTTCCATAGGATAGTCTATGAGGACCTATGGTATCTCCATATAGCCTTTGGCGCCTTCCTCTGATAGCCTTATTTGACTATTAACCCTTAACCCGGTACAGACACACACTGAACATTATATATATAGATAACGTAAAACAAAATGAAAGCAATCAAAGATTGGACATTTTCTCTCTTGTTTTGAAGATAGACAGAACCAAGCTATTCATACTGTAGAGTATTACTTCTAAGAAGGAAATTGTCATTACAAAGTCATGCTGAGAAATCAATCAAAGATTCAAATCCTTCAATCCCGACGACATTTAATCAGATTGACTAATTTTATAGTTACTATAACTAATCTGCTCACTAAAATAGAAACTAAAGATAGTTGATATGTCAAAAAAAATTATCCGCCTTACATCCATGAAATTATTAATTATAGAAAAAACTATTAGCTGAAGCAATTATTTATAATCACATTACTACAAAGTAAATATTCATGAACGAATTTGAACATAGCAGTAAAATCGCAAGAGAAGAAAAAATTCACATTTACATCTAACTTCATTGTTAGATGATGCCTTATAACTCGACTTGATTTACTTAAACCTATACTAATTGTTTTTAAAAAAATGTTCTTTGACTTAAAGTATTATATCTAATTTAAAAATTAGCTTTTTTTAAATATTTTATTCGAAAACAAATATCTATGGAATATTAAGAATTGATTTTTAAATAGGTTTTGTTTTTTAAATTAATGAATGAATCTTTGTTATCCTTCGAATATTAATCACAGTCATTGGTGAACTCTCATAAGTAAAAATCGCATTAAAAAAACAACTACTCTTTTATAAAAAAATTTTCAAAATTGGATATATTTCAAACACTTAAAATTATTCTTTTTTCTATAAAATCAAAATGCATCGAAATATATTGAAACTTAAGGATAAAGAAAAGTTATGTAATGAAAGGAAACAAATGAATAAAAAATGGCTTTAATGGACGTGTCTGTCTTGCCTCCTCTCATTTTCTACTATGTTCTGCATACTGTCAACTACTTACGAGAAAGTTGTCAAATTAATAGCGGAGTGTAATGAAAGAAAAGTTTACGAAGTAATGTGAATAATCTTCTAAATAAATGAATATCGTTTATATTGATTTTTTTATCATGGATTACTAAGTGACTGCAATTAGGGATGAATTTAACATATTTGTTCGATTTCTTGGATATAATGATCAAAGTAGTATGTTTATTTATGGTAACATTTCTTTTTTATGAGAAATAAATGAAGATATTTTCATTATGCTATAAAATGATGTTAAATATTAGTTGAATGTAGATGAGCCTTTTTCTACTCACACATGCAA